GATATCTTATTCTTACACCTTAAAATACCAATAGCAAAACTACATTGTACATTAAGTTAAAAACTGTACTAACAGGAGCATTAGAGCAGTAAATCAGATTGATCAGATAAATGATAGATGTTCTATCATCTTTTGGGATACTCTTACATAATTAAACATCCATCACTAGCTTGCGATAATTGATAGCCTGGGAGAGGATTTATACAAATTTCACAGCATTTTCTGTCAGCTATGCTTTACATGACGACAAGAAAATTAGGTAATTTAGCTGTTTGCAGGTTCTTGACTAAAGTTTCCAACCAAATTTACACTAGCATTCCTGACATTAATATCAAGAGACAAGTTGAAGGTCAAGGTCAAAGGTCTAAGGTATCATTATACATGATGGTGGGAAACGTGGCTTGGCTATGTACTCCTAATTTAAGTTCTTTGCCATATTTCATGAATTATTTCTGAAATTATTCTTTTGATGCTATTGAGGAGGGTAAAGGTCATACAAATGTCCTTTCATCCATCTGTCATTGTTTAACTTGTTCCAAGGTTACCGACTATTTTTAAACCTGATTTTATGAAACTTCACACAGGTATTCCTGACATCTATTCTATCTTTCACTCCTTATATTAGCTTACCTCACCCAAAGGGCCAGATGAACTTATGACGTGGTCAGTGTCTGTCCTTTGTCCAGTGTCAATTTTTTACTTAAAACAACTTCTTCTGAATAACCAAGAGGCCTAGGGTAATGATATTTGGTCAGTAGTATGCTTTGATGAAGGGCTACCAATTTTGTTCAAATGAGTTACCTTCGCCCATTTTCAAGGTCACAGCCATCAAATATGTTAAAATCTTTTAACAACTTCTTCTGAATAACCAGAAGGCCCAGGGTGGATAATATTTGGCCAGTAACATGCTGGTATTAAGGGCTACAAAGTTGTTCAAATGTATTACCTTGACCTTTATTTAAAGTCACTGGGGTCAAATATGTTTATGATGATGCTATCTTGCCAGTAACATGCTGGGAAGAAGGGCTACCAAGTCTGTTTAAAAGAGTGACTTTGACTTATAATCAAGGACTTGGAGGTCAAATATGTTGAAGTCTTTGAATGTCTTCTGAATTACCAAAAGGCCCAGGGTGATGATATCTGGCCAGAAGCATGCTGGAATGAAGGGCTACCAAGTTTGTTCAAATGAATGACCTTTGCCCATATTCAAGGTCACATGGGTGAAATATGTCATTAACTTAAAAGACTTATGAATTTAAAAAAATAGCTAGTATGATGATACATGTATATGGCAAGAAGCATGCTTGGAGGAAAGGTTTGAACATTTTGTTCATGTGAATGACCTTGACACCTTTTCAAAGTTGCATTCTGGGATGAAGGGATATCATTTTTCAAGGTCACAGGGGCCAAATATGTTTTAATCTTTTCACATGTTTTTTTGATTGACCTACAGTGAAGAAAAATTATTTTGCCTGTGGCTGTATTTAAGTCCACTTTTAAGGTAACAAGTATGAGATTAATACCAGGCGAGTGATGCATGCCTATGTGGCCTCTTGATTCTTACCACCATAGCCTGCACTTATTTCCATACAGGCAAGCTCAACTTCCTTCATAGTTTCAACCTGACTCAACAATGTGACATTATGTAGTATTTGTGGTATTCTTGTAAAACATTTGGTACTGTTATTTCATTAAAAGGACTTTAACCAAGCTGTTATAGCATCGTTATTAAGTCTTGTTTTCACTGTTTCGTAGCCTTGAGAATACCTGAATAATACAAAACTTGTATAGATCAGATCTAATCAGTGTTTGGGGGAAAGGTCATTGACTTTTAAAACACAAAAACAGCTTCATGGGTTAGGATCCCGATACCACTGCCCAAATCTAACCAGGCATTGGAAAATGTTTCTTCCTGCATGAATATAGATTTGATCAATCATTTCTGAAAAGAGAATTATAATTTGTAGTAGTTTTTATGGGGGGAAAAATAAAGATAAAATATAATCTACTACAATATTGTGAGTGTAAAATTGCAACTTGGCTAGACTTGGACTCGACCCTGGATTTCAGGTTGTTGTACTGTCGCTCTAACCAAAATTAAGGGGAGGTTACTGTATATACGCAAAAACGTGCAGTGTGATAAGCAGCAGGTTTGAGACTCATTAGCTCTATTACTCAGAAAGTTGGGTTAGGCTTGTTAGCTCTATTACTCAGAAAGTTGGGTAAGGCTTGTTAGTAGCTCTATTTCTCAGAAAGTTTGGTAAGGCTTGTTAGCTCTATTACTCAGAAAGTTGGGTGAAGCTTGTTAGCTCTATTGCTCAGAAAGTTTGGTTAGGCTTGTTAGCTCTATTACTCAGAAAATTTGGTAAGGCTTGTTAGCTCTATTACTCAGAAAGTTGGGTAAGGCTTGTTAGCTCTATTACTCAGAAAGTTGGGTAAGGCTTGTTAGCTCTGTTTCTCAGAAAGTTGGGTAAGGCTTGTTAGCTCTATTACTTAGAAAATTTGGTAAAGCTTGTTAGCTCTATTACTCAAAAAGTTCGGTAAGGCTTGTTAGCTCTATTTCTCAGAAAGTTTGGTAAGGCTTGTTAACTCTGTTTCTTTGAAAGTTGGGTAAGCTTGTTAGCTCTATTACTCAGAAAGTTTGGGAAGGCTTGTTAGCTCTATTACTCAGAAAGTTTGGTAAGGCTTGTTAGCTCTATTACTCAGAAAGTTCGGTAAGGCTTGTTAGCTCTATTACTCAGAAAGTTCGATAAGGCTTGTTAGCTCTATTATCTTTTGAGAATAGCAGGCAGACATCTTGGATTTCAACAGTTCCAGTTTAGTTTTACTTTTTCCCAATTGCAAAAGGCACTTGACAGATCTTCTTAAATTTCAAATTTAGGTTCCCTTAAGTATTGTGCCAAATGACAACTTCACTTTAAAAGAACATTGTCATACACAGCAGTATGAAGCTTTGACCTAGAGTTACCACAAGGTGCATGCAGTTAACATGATTCAATCCCACAGATAAAAGTACAGATCAATCTGACATAGAACCTATGAAGGAGGTACCATGGTGAATGCCAAGATCCCTTTGGGATATCTTGCTTTAATTAAACTTGATATAAAAACCTGCTTTCTTAGAGTCATATTTGATAAAACCGCAGTGAACATTTAAAAGACTAAATCGAATTTACTGCTTTGTTGCATACTATAGGTTTGATGGTTTTAAAGCGATTCCTACCTGGTGACTTCACAAGCTGATTTCAAAGCATGTGAGTGACACACTAACATGTGATAATGATTTAACCCTATTAGGACATCTTACAAAGGTTTATGAAGGACCATCAATCAGCTCTAGGGTTTAGCGGTAACCTAGCACTCCAGCAATCTCTACATGTCGAGGATGAATCCCATCGCTTCAAACGTATCAATCCTAATCATCGGTGAGGCTGTAAAACATGTGTCCATTTTCTTTTCTGTTGTTGTATGACACAGAAATGCCTCCAGCAATTAATTACTACAGCGACAAATCTAGAAGGGTGGGGGAATATCTGATCAATATGTTATACAATAAATCAAATCAAAGCTGTACCATGTATAGGGTTGTGACTCGCATGTCAATTATCATAAACAAAACCAGGGTTGGCAGTCAAGGCCAGCCGTCCAATTTAAATTTACTGAAATAATACTCATTTACAGGAATGGATTTATTGTGGATAAACAATCGCATATAAGAGATTTGTTAAAGAAAGAACATTAATACCAAATAGTCATATGGGTACTTTTGATGAATATGTTTGTAATATCAAGTCATTATTCATTTTCCGATAATCTATATATTACCTAAAGAAAGATTAGACTGCATAGATTTGGACATTAATGTCATTACATTTATTTTGGAAGACATGCCATGATGGGTGATAGTCACATCACCAGATGTAGGGTAAGACGATGGGTGATAGTCACATCACCAGATGTAGGTTAAGACAATGGGTGATAGTGATTAAAACGTGTAACAAGATCTTTCTCATATTATGTAGGTTTCCTTTGGTCCATATTTGTGTATGTTTCATTTTAGGACCAATTGGAAAAACAAGATGGCCACCAGGCAGCCATCTTGGATTTTGAGAGCTCAAGTTTGTTATTGCTATTTCCTAAGAAGTACTAGACAGATCTGTCTCAATGTTCATATGTAGGTTCCTTTTGGTCCATAGTTGTGTATATGTTATTTTGAGAGTGATTAGAAAAACAAAACACCAACCAGACAGCCATCGTTGATTTAGACAGTTAAAGTTTGTTCTTGCTATTTTTCAAGTGTGCATGTCTCATTTTGAGAATGTTCTGAAAAAAGTAAGATGGCCACCAGTAAGCCATCTTTGAAATTGATAGTTAAAGTTTTCAATCGCTTTTTCTAAAGAAATAAATCCTGTGCTTAATTTTAAAGAAAACTCTGAAACTCAGCTGTATGAAATTTTGATCAAGTTACCACATGATGCATTTACTGCTGACAGGGCTATAGATCCAACAGATAAGATAAATGAAGGGGAAAGATCAAACTTATATTGAACTCATAAAAGTACTTATGATTGAGGGCACCAAGATCCTTCTGGGAGCCTTGTTTATGTGGAAGTGTTATTTTGGCAGTAATCGGAATTCAACATTTGTAACCGTTACTACTTAGTTTGCAGACTGGTTCAGTGGTTAAGGCCAGGGATCCATTCCTGTTTGGATCATGAACCAGTTAGTCAGAACTTGTAAATTTGAGTGAGAAAGCCAAAATACATTAACTTGAGCCAGTTAGCTGAAACATGAGTTTGTAAGCCGGGATGTGTAAATTTAAGTCTGTCAAATGTTAATTTAATCACTGTTTTAATATTTGCAGTGTCATTGTATCTGTATGCTATAAGAGAGTTTGATGTTAAACAATAAATGGTAATAACATAATGTAGTCAAAAGTAAACATGTAAATAACGGTACAGAATATGTGAGAGTATTTCGTCCTTGACTCAGACTTCCAGATACGATGTACAACAACTTGCTGACAGTGCTGTGTCTCTCCTTGCTGTGTGGTTTCCTCTACTTCTACTACAAAGTCCGTACTGTAGACCCAGGTATGTACTGTAGACCCAGGTATGTACTGTAGACCCAGGTATGTACTGTAGACCCGGGTATGTACTGTAGACCCAGGTATGTACTGTACACCCAGGTATGTACTGTAGACCCGGGTATGTACTGTATACCCGGGTATGTACTGTAGACCCAGGTATGAACTGTAGACCCAGGTATGTACTGAAGACCCAGGTATGTACTGTAGACACGGGTATGTACTGTAGACCCGGGTATGTACTGTAGACCCGGGTATGTACTGTAGACCCGGGTATGTACTGTAGACACAGGTATGTACTGTAGACCAAGGTATGTACTGTAGACCCAGGTATGTACGGTAGACACGGGTATGTACTGTAGACACGGGTATGTACTGTAGACCCATGTATGTACTGTAGACACGGGTATGTACTATAGACACGGGTATGTACTGAAGACCCGGATATGTACTGTAGACCCAGGTATGTACTGTAGACCCAGGTATGTACTGTAGACCCAGATATGTACTGTATACACAGGTATGTACTGTAGACCCAGATATGTACTGTAGACCCAGGTATGTAATGTAGACACAGGTATGTACTGTAGACCCAGGTATGTACTGATAAAGTACTTTAGACCAAAGTAAGTGTGATAAAGTACTGTAGACCCAGGTTTGTACTGTAGACCCAGGTATATGTGATAAAGTACTGTAGACCTAGGAATGTGTGATAAAGTACTGTAGACACAGGTATGTACTGTAGACCCAGGTATGAGTGATTAAGTACTGTAGACCCATGTTTGTGTTGATAAAGTACTTTAGACCCAGGTATGTGCTGATAAAATACTGTAGACCAAGGTATGTGTGATAAAATACTGTAGACCCAGGTATGTGCTGATAAAGTTCTGTTGACCCAGGTATGTATGATAAAGTAATGTAGACCAAGGTATGTGTGATAAATAACTGTAGACACAGGTATGTGTGATTAAGTACTGTAGAACCGGGTATGTACTGATAAAGTACTGTAGACCCAGGTATGAGTAATAAAGTATGGAGACCCAAGTAAGTGTGATAAAGTACTGTAGACCCAGGTATGTGTGATAAAGTACTGTAGACCCAGGTATGTGTGATAAAGTACTGTAGACCTAGGAATGTGTGATAAAGTACTGTAGACCCAGGTATGTACTGTAGACCCAGGTTTGTGTTGATAAAGTTCTGTAGACCCAGGTATGTGCTGATTAAGTACTGTAGACCGAGGTATGTACAGATAAAGTACTGTAGACCCAGGTATGTATAATAAAGTAATGTCGATCCAGGTATGTGTGATAAAGTACTGTAGACCCAGGTATGTACAGATAAAGTACTGTAGACCCAGGTATGTACTGATAAAGTACTGTAGACCCAGGTATGTGTGATAAAGTACTGTAGACCCAGGTATGTGTGATAAAGTACTGTAGACCCAGATATGTGTGATAAAGTACTGTAGACCCAGGTATGTGCTGATAAAGTACCTAGTTAAACACATAGGGTAAAAGTTATGTTTAAATGTTTATAGAGGTGCTATCAAAAACACAAAAAATCCATCTATATCTGATGTGGTTAGAATGGCTGGTCACACATACTGACTCTGATGTGGTTAGAATGGCTGGTCACACATACTGTCTCTGATGTGGTTAGAATGGCTGGTCACACATGCTCACTTTGATGTGGTTAGAGTGGCTGGTCACACATGCTGACTCTGATGTGATAATAATGGCTGGTCACACATTCTGACCCTGATGTGGTTAGGATGGCTGGGCACACATGCCGATTCTGATGTGGTTAGAATGGCTGGTCACACATGCTCACTTTGATGTGGTTAGAGTGGCTGGTCACACATGCTGACTCTGATGTGATAATAATGGCTGGTCACACATTCTGACCCTGATGTGGTTAGGATGGCTGGTCACACATGATGACTCTGATGTGGTTAGAATGGCTGGTCACACATGCCGATTTTGATGTGGTTAGAATGGCTGGTCACACATGCCGATTCTGATGTGGTTAGAATGGCTGGTCACACATGCTCACTTTGATGTGGTTAGAGTGGCTGGTCACACATGCTGACTCAGATGTGGGTAGGATGCCTGGTCACACATACTGACTCTGATGTGGTTAGAATGGCTGGTCACCCATGCTGACTCTGATGTGGTTAGAATGGCTGGGCACACATACTGACTGATGTGGTTAGAATAGCTGGGCACACATGCCGACTCTGATGTGGTTAGAATGGCTGGTCACACATACTGACTGATGTGGTTAGAATAGCTGGTCACACATGCCGACTCTGATGTGGTTAGAATGGCTGGTCACATATACTGACTCTGATGTGATTAGAGTGGCTGGTCACACATGCTGACTCAGATGTGGTTAGGATGCCTGGTCACACATACTGACTCTGATGCGGTTAGAATGGCTGGTCACACATACTGATTGATGTCGTTAGAATGGCTGGTCACACATGCTGACTCTGATGTGGTTAGAATGGCTGGTCCCACATGCTGACTCTGATGTGGTTAGAGTGGCTGGTCACACATGCTGACTCTGACGTGGTTAGGGTGGCTGGTCACACATACTGACTCTGATGTGATTAGAGTGGCTGGGCACACATGCTGACTCTGACGTGGTTAGGATGGCTGGTCACACATACTGACTCTGATGTGGTTAGAGTGGCTATTCACACATGCTGACTCTGATATGGTTAGGATGGCTGGTCACACATTCTGACTCTGATGTGGTTAGAATGGCTGGTCACACATGCCGATTTTGATGTGGTTAGAATGGCTGGTCACACATGCTGACTCTGATGTGGTTAGAGTGGCTAGTCACACATGCTGACTCTGATGTGGTTAGGATGGCTGGTCACACATTCTGACTCTGATGTGGTTAGAATGGCTGGTCACACATGCCGATTTTGATGTGGTTAGAATGGCTGGTCACACATGCTGACTCTGATGTGGTTAGAGTGGCTAGTCACACATGCTGACTCTGATGTGGTTAGGATGGCTGGTCACACATGCCGATTCTGATGTGGTTAGAGTGGCTAGTCACACATGCTGACTCTGATGTGGTTAGGATGGCTGGTCACACATGCCGATTCTGATGTGGTTAGAGTGGCTAGTCACACATGCTGACTCTGATGTGGTTAGGATGGCTGGTCACACATGCCGATTCTGATGTGGTTAGAGTGGCTAGTCACACATGCTGACTCTGATGTGGTTAGGATGGCTGGTCACACATGCCGATTCTGATGTGGTTAGAGTGGCTAGTCACACATGCTGACTCTGATGTGGTTAGGATGGCTGGTCACAGATGCCGATTCTGATGTGGTGAGAGTGGCTGGTCACACATACTGACTCTGATGTGGTTAGGATGGCTGGTCACACATACTGACTCTGATGTGGTTAGAATGGCTGGTCACACATGCCGATTTTAATGTGGTTAGAATGGCTGGTCACACATGCCGATTTTGATGTGGTTAGAATGGCTGGGCACACATGCCGATTTTGATGTGGTTAGAATGGCTGGTCACACATTCTGACTCTGATGTGGGTAGGATGGCTGGTCACAGATGCCGATTCTGATGTGGTGAGAGTGGCTGGTCACTCATACTGACTCTGATGTGATTAGAGTGGCTGGTCACATATGCTTACTCTGATGTGGCTAGGATGGCTGGTCACACAAACTGGCTCTGATGTGGTTAGAATGGCTGGTCAAACATAGTGACTCTGATGTGGTTAGAATGGCTGGTCACACATACTGACTCTGATGTGATTAGAGTGGCTGGTCACACATGCTTACTCTGATGTGGCTAGGATGGCTGGTCACACATACTGACTCTGATGTGGTTAGAATGGCTGGTCACACATGCTGACTCTGATGTGGTTAGAATGGCTGGTCACACATACTGACTCTGATGTGGTTAGAGTGGCTGGTCACACATACTGACTCTGAGGTGGTAAGGATGGCTGGTCACACATGCTGACTCTGATGTGGTTAGAATGGTTGGTCACACATACTGACTGATATGGTTAGAATGGCTGGTCACACATACTGACTCTGATGTGGTTAGAATGGCTGGTCACACATGCTGACTCTGATGTGGTTAGAATGGCTGGTCACACATACTGACTCTGATGTGGTTAGAGTGGCTGGTCCACATGCTGACTCTGATGTGGTTAGGATGCCTGGTCACACATACTGACTGATGTCGTTAGAATGGCTGGTCACACATACTGACTCTGATGTGGTTAGGATGGCTGGTCACACATACTGACTGATGTCGTTAGAATTGCTGGTCACACATACTGACTCTGATGTGGTTAGAATGGCTGGTCACACATGCTGACTCTGATGTGGTTAGAATGGCTGGTCACACATACTGACTCTGATGTGGTTAGAGTGGCTGGTCCACATGCTGACTCTGATGTGGTTAGGATGCCTGGTCACACATACTGACTGATGTCGTTAGAATGGCTGGTCACACATACTGACTCTGATGTGGTTAGGATGGCTGGTCACACATACTGACTGATGTCGTTAGAATTGCTGGTCACACATACTGACTCTGATGTGGTTAGAATGGCTGGTCACACATGCTGACTCTGATGTGGTTAGGATGGCTGGTCACAAATGCTGACTGGGCCATCCAGTTTCTTTTCCTTCCTAGCTTAGCTTTACAGTTTTGTAGAAATATACATCAAAAGAAAAATATATTTCTTGCAAGCTGCCAAATAGTACATGCTCAGCATTCTGATATATCGGGTATTTCTCACAAACAGACTTTTAAATGTTACAGATTTCTCCAGTCTAGATTCCTCAATGTCTGATAATTCTACTATAAAGCAGATTAAAATAGTAGAGTTTTCCCCAAAGCAGACTCATTAATGTCAGAGACGTCTCTGAACCAAACTTTGTAGTTCTGTCCCTCAGGTCATAACACTATTCTCCTGCTCATACTCAAGTTCTAGGTGTAAGCTCCGTTCTACTTGTAGAAGTAATATAAGTACTTTTCCATTATTTCTGAGACTTACACCTGAGTCCAGATAACATGTTTATTGTTTACACTTTGTTTTTGACCCATCCCAAGATC